AGTAGTACTAGTAGTGGTAGTAGTGGTAGTAGTAGTAGTAGTAGTAGTAGTAGTAGGAGTAGTAGTAGTGGAGTAGTAGTAGTAGGAGTAGTAGTAGGAGTAGTAGTAGGAGTAGCAGCAGTTGTAGTTGTAGTTGTAGTTTCAGTTGTTGTGGTTCTCGTTGTGTTGGTGGTTTGTTGTTGCTGTTGTTGCGGTGGTCGTTGTTGTGGCTGCTGTCGTTGTTGTCGTGGTCGTTGTCGTTGTCGTCGTCGTTGTTGTTGTTGTTGTTGTTGTTGTTCTCGTGTTCCCAAACTTCAAACAGCACGGCCAACAGCGTAGAGCAGCAGCTAGCAGTCATTGTAAACCGACAACATCATTTTGGGCTTGTCTCTGGTGCACATGTTCAGAGCACTCCTGGTGGTAGTAGTGGAAGTAGTATGCTATACCAAGGATCTCGATTTTCGAAAAGGAACTTGTAAATCACGGCTCACATGTTACTACATGTCGGTCTTGGTTGAAGCCGGTCGAGGCGGCAGCCGAGCTTCCGGAGGACCTGCTTGGTTTGGCAGTTGGGGGGTAACCGGTCAGGACGTGCAGTCGGGGGTTAGATTAGTGGGCGAGATAGACCAGAGAGAGGGTTTAGGCTTGAGCAGGTTCCTTTGGCCATCATGCCGTTTCAAAGCAGCCGAAAATGATTTCCGTAGGGTGTGTACAGGGTCTGGGATTTGAAGGTTGGGAAAGTCGGAGTATTTGTCAGTATAAGGTGCAGGTGGAACACCACTGGCCAACATTGGGTGGCTCTCAGTTTTGCTGAAGCAAGCTTGGGCCCTCCGCTTTGAGGCAGCGTGCTTTCCGCAGCGCAAGTCGTTGGTAGTTTCAGCTCTCCAGCCCCAACACCCCCCAACGTGTCAACTGTCTCCCTAAAGGACGATTATGTGTCCGGGCCTCAGCCTGGGCCTTCTTGATGGTGTCCGAATCATAGAATGGCAGGACCGGGGCTTTGCCTTCTTTGGCGTTCACTGGCTTTTGAAAGAAAGGCAAAGGCTTGAAAGTGCCGGGCGAAGGGTGGTTGGACTCAGCTTCCTTTGGGATTTTGCCACTATCGTTGGGTGGTCAGCATATGTACCCATCACCATCATCACCATCATCACCATCATCACCGTCATCACCATCATCACCATCATCACCATCATCACCATCATCACCATCATCACCATCATCACCATCGTCACCGCCACTCATCGCCATGATGATGATGATGATGATGATGATGATGATGGCCATAGGCATCATCATTGATCATCATCTTCGCCCCTGCGAACTTTGCTGCAATTGACCTAGAGTCGGGAGGGTGCAGTGATGGTGACGACTGCCTGGCCGCGTTTCTCGATTCTGTGGCAGGAATGTGCTCGCAGTCTTGGTCATACTCCGCGACCTTGGAATCGAAACCCGACCCCCAAACCCGAAATCAGAGCTCTGTGACCAAGGCAGTGTAAACCCTAAACCCCAAACCCTAAGCCCTCGTGTGCTAGACCGTCGGCTTAGGCCGCACATCACGGGACTCGCCTCGGGTGACTTCGCCGTGGCCGGCGGCGAAGGCAAGGCATCTGGGGTACCCTGCTAGGTCCCCAATTTAGTACGGCACCCTTACAGAAAGGACCCCAAGAAGGACCCTAATTTTATGTAAGATCTCGAGGGTTTTTGTTGTAAAGACCCGATTAGAGAGTGTGTTTTTTAAATTATTTGTTGTTTAAGGTTTGCGGTTTGGAGCTCCGTTCACATTAGGACGTGTATATCCTCATGGGTTTTATGATATCGGGACTCGGGACCGCTGACACTAACTTTTGACAATATCGGATTGAGTTTGGTCTTCAATGCAAGGGAACTCTGTGATTTGCTGGCAGCCAGACGTTTGCTAGAAGTTTTTAGGGCGTCACAAAACGACAACGATGGGCTACATAGCCACTCGGAAATGCTTGAGGTTTGTACCAGTCCGAGTTGTCGCCGCTGCTCCAAAGGTTCCTGTTTCAAGCTCACGCGCAGTCATGTTGCCACGATGAAGTTCGTAATCTGTGCTGCCTTTCCAGATACTTGGCTCAGGATAGGTCCTTGGATTTTTCATACGAATCTGTGGGTCCTGACCCGAGATCCAACCTGGCACAGGATGGCTCTACTTATACGATGGGCAGACCATGCGACAACTTTCGAAGCCAGCAGCTCAGCGTTACGGCGCTTGCTTTCGCATGAGTAGTAGCAGCGCAGTCTCGCAGCCCGTGCCAGCTTGCCACAAGGTTTCGGGCGCACAAGCCGCTTGGCATGAAAGGGTCCAAATGTGCGGCTGAAAAGCCAAGCCAAGCATTCTCGTGTTTAGATCAGCCAGGGTGGTCCCAAAAACCTTGCTTCTACACCTTAAACAGCAGCTTTGAACTGACTTGCAGAGTACCTTTGTGTCCGCATGCTAAGCCCAGCAGTAGGCCACCGACGCATACATACCAATCATGATAGTCGCAACAGCCGTAGAATTGGCAGTGCTGAACCAAGCAAAGCAATAACTGCAGTCGTGACTGAGGAGGATGATGCTGATCCGATTAAGAGCAGTACCGACCGTGTTCGAAGAGTTCATATTCATTAGCAAGATGCCGTAATCATTGCACTTACACTGTAATCCAAAATCCTCAGTACTAAACCCTTAACTTCGCCCGAATCCTAAACTCTAAATCCCATCACAGAACCCTTACTGTAGTAATTTGCTTTGGAACCCCGAAAACAAAAGAACCCTTTAGAGGACCCCCCACTCCCTAAACCCTAAACCCTAAACCCTAAACCCTAAACCCTTTAGAGGACCCCCCCAACTAAGAGCATCAGAGCCGAGGAAGGCCGTGAATCGGCTCTTGGAGGGCCCCGGAGGCTCCCTTTTGACTGCGCCCGGGGCTCACAGCTTTTTGAGGTTTAGGGTTTAGGGTTTAGGGTTTAAGGTTTAGGGTTTAGGGTTTAGGGTTTAGGGTTTAGGGTTTTTGAGACGGGGCTGGTTTGCAGGAACTCCGTAAGACTGTTTTGAGGTTTCCGGGGTTATCCCAGTTGCCCGGAAGCTGTGTGTGCCCTGATGCAGAGCAAGCTGCTTTATGACGGACCCGATGCAAACCCTGTCGCTGGCCTAAACCCTAAACCCTAAACCCTAAACCCTGAGTTGGCTGTGCTGCCAGAGTGCCAGCCATCCTCATCCCCGCCTGGCCGACAGCAGAAGCAGAGGATCTCTCGGAAGCTCCCTGTGATCTTGACGTCATTCGGCAGTAACTTTAGTCCTAGTTATTCCCAGTGGTATCGTTCAACACGTTTTTCCGGTTGTTACACATCGGATTCCTTGTGTTTCCTGCTGTGACCTAACCGACAACAGCGAAGGTCTGCCGATGGTACGGTGCGACTTTGGAAGCAGGGCGGCCTCAAAGAAGGATCGCCCGAACCGGCCGGAGCCTCGGGCATGGGCGGTTTGGAATTGAGGGTTGGGTGTTTGGGGTTTGCAAAGCATGGGTTTGGGGTTCTAGATTAAGGCCGGTGTTGGCATGAGGCGCTCCTCTCTTGCGAGTTCTTGAATCCTGAACTTAGGTGCAGCAGTTTGAGGGACACATCATGTCCGTGAGTGCCCTTGACATCGTCGAGGATCGCCGCAAGCTAGGATCTTTGAGCTTTTCCGTGAAGGAAGCAGCCTCGTTTTGCTGAAGTCTACAGCGCAGGTGCTTTGCAATACACTGTCTGTCTGTCTGTCTGCCTGCCTGCCTGCCTGCATGCATGCTGTATATACACATGCTGTATATACACATATATACATATACATATATAGATGTGCGTGTGTGTGTGTGTAATCGGGACGGCTGTGGAGGTCTAAACTTGAAGGACCACACCAGCAAGTTCTGGGATAGGTCGGAAGGAATCTTGACAAAGCGCGCTGTCCTGCACGAGGAGTGGGGCTCGGCCGGCGAAATGCAGGCCAGCTGCACAGGGGCAGTTCCCAGGAGGCTGTCTGGTCTCCTTCCAAGGGTTGGAAACCCCTAAGCCTTCGGCACCTGAGGCCGTTCAGAGCAACCGGCACGAAGCACTCGTAATGCAAGTTGCTTCTTTGGCAGGCCGGCACGGCACTTTTCACTGGCTCTCGGGACTGTTCTGTGATGTTGGGAGCTTAGCACTGTGACTTTTCACCAGGATATGATTCAAGTCAGCCCTCGGGATATAGTTCTGTCTACAGGCTGCACACAACGATGCAATCGCACGTGGGTATAGTGGCGTCGGGAGCTTTGATGCAGCATTATCACGGCAAGACTCGTACGGCAGAACTTTCTCACACAACCTAAACCCAAAACAAGCAGATCCGAAAGCACAGCAGCAACCTTTACACCGAAAGCAGAACCCTGTAGACCCTAAATCCTCAAACCCAAAACCCGAGACCAAATTGCTGCATTGATCCCCTCAGTCAGCAGCCGGATTATGGGGTTTCCAAGGACGTTACAGTGCTTTATCGGGTTAAGTGCTTTATCGGGGTTCTGCAAGGGCTTTCTGACAGGGCTTCTTGGCTAGATGGTCCCCGAATGTAGGAGTTTCAGAAGAAGGGTCTATTGTAGATCGTGAGCACCTCACCCGAAAAAGGTGCGATTCGTGTCAGAAGCTCACACCAAGCCGTTCATAAACCCTTGCAAACCTGACCAAACCTTAAGCTTTACACATGAGAAGAGCTTCAAAGAATCTGAATGAGGTTGGACTCTCAGGCCATTCAGGGTTTCGGGCCCCTCCTAGTGAGAAGGGATGCTAGAGCTTTAGGGTTTTAGGGATGGTTGAGGGCTGAAGGCTTTAGGGATGCAGGGCTTCGGGATGGAGAGTTTCCGAACACCGGAGCTACGGTGTGGAGTAGAGCTCTGGGATGCTTGGCAGCGGCATTTCCGGATCCTGAACCAGACTGCTCGCCTCCTTCAGTCAGCAGGGGCTTAGGCTTCAGGGTTTAGGGTTCGTGGTTCCGTTGTCTCTCGTTGTTTTGGGTTATGCAGGCCTAGACGGTGGCATGTTAATGTCAAAAGTAGAAAGTGTTTTGCAACACGCTCTTCAGTTCAAGCAACGATGCATACACGATCATCGATGTCGTCAGCGCCAGAGCAACGAAGATGACGGTACTAATGGCAACCTGTAGCGCCATCTCAAGTTTGTTTAATTTCAGCAAACTCATGATTATTGTTAATGCAGTAGAGTATTACTGCAACCGTATAACCCAGAAAGATAGCACGCACAGCTAGCTGTCCTGTAAGCCAACACCCTAATACCATAAACAGTATAACATTGGAAGAGTATACAGTATACATCATGTGCTGTGGCGCTTTTCTGCACTTCCTGTTTAGGCAATGCAAAGTGCAGCCTCAAAACAAGAGCTTGTTTGTTCACACCTTCATCCAGAGTTCGCGGACTGTTCTGCCTGATGTTGGGCAGTATGGGTTTGTTAGTGACTAGAGAGCGTCAGGCTGTGGGACCTCGAGACGGGGAGGCACTGGAGCCTTGCCTGGTTGTCTTTAGATAGCATTTGAGCTGCACTTCAAGGATGCGTTCAGGCCCACGATCAGCTCGGAGACCTACAGCAGCCATGCGGCCCTTCAGAATTCCAGTGTCATCAAGCTAGCCAACCAGGGGTGACGCTTGGAAAAGTTACAAGACGCAAGCTGCAACAGTAAATCCGCAGTTCATCGCGGACGCCCTAAAACCTTCGTCTACAAGTCTCGGGCTTAGGGTTTCGGGTTGAGGCAGTTGACTAGGAGAGTTCGCACGACATGGTTCGTGTAGTGTCCATAGTTTCCTCTTGACTTTGCACGAACTGCATCTGAGCACGTAGCCATAACACGTATAAAGTTGTATACAAACACAGGTGTGTTTGTGTGTATATATACACATACATACATACACACACACACATCTATCTATCTAT